GATGAAAATGAAAATGAAATTTCTATTCAAACAAATATGAGTCATCCGATCGAAATAATTATTCCTCGAGATCCAAATATAATAATACCACCAATGATTTTACAAAATGTTACATCAATGAATTCTACTCCTCATAATCAATTATTTGATTTACATTATTTGAATATTACAAGTTCTCTTTCGATTTCAATTCATTTTGAAATTCAACCTTTGAATACAAGTCTTGCTTATTTATTTATTTATAAATTTGATCAATTACCTCAGTTGAATACTTCAATCAATAGTATTGATGGATGGACTCTATTTTGTCCTTTGAATTTAACAAATGAAACTTTGTATAAATATTTTATTAATAATCAACAAACATCCGGTCATCAATCAATTATATATGGTTTACGCGAATTAAATTCAACAGAAATGATGAATACATGTTCGAATACTTTAATCAGTAGTCCCCCAATAACTGATCAACGATTTAATTTTACATCGAATTATCAACTAAGAATTTATACATCAGGTTGTTATTATCTTGATAAAAATAATCAGTGGAAATCAGATGGATTAACAGTTGGTCCTTTGACAAATCATTATGAAACTCAATGTTTTTCAACTCATTTAACAAGTTTTGCTAGTGGTTTTGTTATTTTACCTGAATTAATTAATTGGAATTACGTATTTGCTAATGCTGATTTTATGAAAAATAAAACAATTTATTTAACTGTCATTTGTGTATCTGTAATTTATATTATTTTAATCATATATGCACGTTTTAAAGATAAAAAAGATTCGGAAAAATTAGGAGTAACACCATTACCTGATAATCATCAATCGGACCAATATCTTTATCAAATTATTGTTTTTACTGGTCAACAACAAAATGCTGGAACAAATTCAAACGTAAGATAAACAAAACAAAGAATATATTTTTAAAATATATTTCATTTATAGGTTCATTTTATTGTATATGGCGATAATGATGAAACACATATTCGTACGTTAGCTGATTCTCAACGAAGAATTTTACAACGTGGTGGAATTGATCCATTTATAATGGCAGTTCCAAAGTAATCTATTATTTAATAAATAATTAAAATATTAAATTTTTCTATTTAGATCATTAGGATTATTAAATTATGTTCGTATATGGTATGATAATACAGGTCAAGGTTCATCATCATCATCATGGTTTCTTAAATATATAATTATTCGTGATTTACAAACAATGGAAAAATTTTATTTTATTTCTCAATGTTGGTTTGCAGTTGAAAAGGATGATGAAAAAGTGAATTAAATTATTTATTTGAAATAATTTTAATTTTTTTTAAATAGATTGAACGTATTTTATTTGTAGCTGGTGACGTTGAAAAACAACAATTTTCATATATATTATCAAAAAAGGCTTATCATAGTATTTCCGATGGTCATTTATGGTTTTCAATATTTTCTCGTCCACCATCAAATCAATTTACACGTGTTCAACGATGTACATGTTGTTTTGTTTTATTTTTTATTTCAATGTTTTTAAATATAATGTACTATGATTTATCAACAGAAGGTAAAACAAGTACATATAGTTTATCGTTTGGTTCACTTTATATTACTCGTCAACAAGTATAAGAATTTAATTTTTCTTCTAATTTATTCTATTTAATATATTCAATAGGTAATTATTGGTATAATTGTTGAATTATTTGTATTAATTCCAAGTCTTTTAATTGTTCAATTATTTCGACGTCTTCAATCTCGTAAAAAACAGGTTTCACCATTTTCATTATTATTTCCTTGGTGGTGTATATTTATTGCATATGGGCTTTGTATAATATTAGTTGGTCTTTCAATTATTTTTATAATTGCTCGTGGAATTGAATTTGATGATGATAAAACACAAAAATGGTTAATATCAATTCTAAGTGGATTTTTTTCTTCAATCATTTTCACACAACCATTAAAAATAATAGGTTTAACAATATGCTTTGCTTTTTGTTATCAAAATTCATATGATGATAAAGAAGCAAATGAATATTTGGATTACTATGAAGAATACCTTCATTTGGTTAAGGTTAGTCTCTTATTATTTGTATTAAATAATAAATAAATATGATTGTAGAAGAAATCTCTATTTACTTATCGACACAGGTCAATGATAAAAGAAATATTGTTTTATGTATGTTTTATAACAGTTCTTTATATTATAATTTATTCAAATCGTGATTTAAATTCATTTCTTCAAGTTAATCATTCACGAAAAGTTTTCTTTAATTCAAGACAAATCAATTGTGATTATACAAAAGTTTGTTTTTTATCTTATTCGATAATGTTCCTTTATTTGAATAAAATATTTAGATTACAACAATAGATGATTATTGGAATTGGTTAGAAAATAGTTTTGTTGGAAATATTCGTGCTCAACAATGGTATAATAATGATCCACCTAGAAATTTAAGTGGGTTTATTAATGATAAATCTAATCGATTAATTAGCTGGGCAACTATGAGACAATTGCGTGTCAAATCAACATTGTGTCAAGTTCAAAATGAAATTACTTCAACATGTCAATATGGTTATAATTTTTATAATGAAGATAAATATTTCTATGAACCAGGATGGAAAAATGAAATAATACAAAATTATAGTTCAGCAATTTCTCAATCATTTCAATATTCAACAAGTGAAGATTTAAATAAATATGGTTATATTGGAGAACATGATGCTGGGCTGCGATTCGATCTATTTTTCCTCTAAATCCTATATTTTTGAAGAATCCTTTAATTTGTCCTATATTTCGATTGCTTTTCCTATTTTACCTATATTTTATCGAAAAACAGAGAAATGTAATTGATTTTACAAAAATATGAGAAAATAAAAGATTACTCAAAGAGTATTAGTCGAATTCTACACCGGCAAGCTTGTAGGTACTGATAAAATCAACCTTTATACATTAAAAAAAACAGATTGAATATATATATGCACACGCAAGATAGTGATATCTATTGTACGTAATATTATTTGTATTTTCACATCTTCGATGAATTCGCCGAGAAATTCTTTAATTTAATTCTCTAAAGATCCAATAGTCAAAAGGATAAAACTAATGAATACAAAATAATCATGTGTCCTGTGAACCTTTTTTCGCAGTTTCACATATGTACAAATGTGCGTATTTTTGCGATATGTTTTTGCAGATAGATGCGGTATGTATAAAGGAGTGGTCAAAAAATCATCACTTTTTACTCACGTCAGAAATCTCATACTACGAAAGTCCCTGCTACCTACATCTATATCATTCATGAACTTACCTCAAAGTCTTTCTGTAAGCGAAATCTTTCAATGATCATACATTCTAAATCTGACGAATACTATCAAAACAATTCAATATTATGAGTAACTACGCTGCAAAGCGAAGAGGGCATTTGAAAGGATAATTAAAAATATCGTATGAATTGTAAGCTTTTTTAATCATAATAAAGTAATATATAAGAACAGAAAAAAAAGATACATTTTTTTATTGGAAATGGAATATTAAAGTATGTGATAATTCAGTAAAATCTAGGAAAAAACAGTTCGCAGATGTTATAAAATGAGAATTCTTCTAGCTAAAGTATTGTTTGGAATTCGGAGTACTTGCAAGATAAAGAATTATATAAGTGAAAGTTAATTTGTTCGAAATAATTAATATAACTCTGCACTATTTAAAGCACTATAATAACTATATCCACCAGTAACTAATACTTTCCCATTTGGTAGTACAGATGCTGTGTGAAAATCTCGTGCATTAGTCATGTTACTAGTATTTGTCCAAGTACCTGTTGATGGATCATACAGCTCGGCACTATTTAAAAAATTAGGATAATTATATCCACCAGTAACTAATACTTTTCCAGTTGTTAATACAGATGCTGTGTGAACAACCCGTGCATTATTCATGTCACCGGTAGTTGTCCAAATGCCTGTTGATGGATCATACAGCTCAGCACTAGATAAAAAACCATTATTACCATTCCCACCGGTAACTAATACTTTTCCATTTGGTAATACAGATGCTGTGTGAGAATCTCGTGCATTATTCATGTTACTAGTAATTGTCCAAGTACCTGTTGATGGATCATACAGTTCAGCGCTATTCATAGCAGTATTGCCTGCGCCAACACCACCAGTAACTAATACTTTTCCATCTGATAATACAGATGCTGCGTGTTCAAATCGTGCATTAGTCACGCTACCTGTAGGTGTCCAAGTACCTGTTGATGGATCATACAGCTCAGCAGTATTTAAATTACCACCATAATTATATCCACCAGTAACTAATACTTTTCCATTTAATAATACAGATGCTGTGTGATAATATCGTGCATTATTCATGTTACCAGTAGTTGCCCAAACGCCTGTCGATGGATCATACAATTCAGTACTATTTAAAATACTACCATTATTGTATCCACCAATAACTAATACTTTTCCATTTGATAACATAGATGCTGTGTAAATATATCGTGCATTATTCATGTTACCAGTAGTTGTCCAAATGCCTGTTGATGGATCATACAGTTCAGCACTATTGAAAGCAATAAAGTCATCGGATGAACCACCAGTAACTAATACTTTTCCATTTGATAATACAGATGTTGTATGACCAGCTCGTGCATTAGTCATATTGCCAGTAGAAAACCATCCTAGAAGTTACATTTTTATAAATTTAGACCATACAACATCAGATAATTAAACAATCGACATTCATTTTTTTTTGTACAGAATATTTTCATTATTCTAAAAACGACAGTGTTTGATATGTCTATTTTCTATCATCTCAAACTTATGTAGACCAAGAACAGTAGTCAAATGTATTCCATACCCTCTCTTCACATATCATTATGACATCTTCAGTTTTTTATATATTCTATTTCCTCTGTTATCTCAATTAAATATATGAAAAATGTTGGTCTCAAATGGAGCACTGTACTAATTATGATGACGAATATGTTTTTCGCTTCTCTACAAATTTTAAAAGCTATGTTTGAAAGATATTCAATAAGATGAAAAAGTTGAACTTTAAATCAACTCTTCCATGGTTCTTGGGATGTCATAATCAAAATAATGAGTTATTTACAACACTTATTTTTACAACGATCAATGTATAGATATGAAAAGGTCTATATAAGATTCATCATTGAAGCTGATATTAACGATGAACTAGTAAGAAAATGAGTGATAAATCTTGAAGTCTCTGATAATTCACTATTAAATCATTGTTAGTTGTTTATTAGTTCACACAAATTCTATTATTTAGCTATTCTCAACTCTGTTCTCAGTAGTACTTTATATCTTATCAAATAAAATACTTAAATTTATCAGTACAAAAATAATTTTTCAACAATTACCTATTTATATCTTCTCATGTAATGAACACTTTCATAGAAAAAACAAAACTTTACAAATATTTCAAACATGAGATAAAAGATTGATCTCAAGGTAAAGATAGTATTTAATGTCTAATTGTATAGTTCACTCGATCATCTCATCAATCAAGACAACATAAATGAAATAGCTGCTGATCACAGAACATTAATCTTAGATTCTCCATCAAATTTGATTCACCTTTGCATATACTCTGTTTCTATATTTATCTCAGATGATTTATCTATTTTACAAGAAGTATAATATTAATGACTTGTGGGAGGTGGGAGGACGACTATTCGTATAGACCTAAATTTATTATGTATGGAATAAATCTCATTGCATGGAATTCATTTTCACACAAAATAGAATTCACTATAAATTTAGAAGAATGGGATAGATATGAATAAGAATTGCTTGCGAAAGTAGTGGTCTATTTTATTGCTGTTGCTACTCATTCCAATCAAGAACAAAAATCACAAATAAAATTTAATTCGAAATCTTTACAAAGCCGGTTTACATAAATCATTTATTGATTACTTACTACCGGTTGTATTAGATTGACTAATTGTAGTAACGGAATGAACTGCAAAGCAAAAGAAGAAGAAAACCTATGCGCTAGAATCAGTGGTAACGATACTGCATATTTTACCTGTTGTTGTTATTGGTGCGTGTGTCGATATTTTAGTGGTAGTTGTAGACTTTTGAGTAGTTGTTGTTGTCGATTTTTTAGTGGTAGTCGTACTCTTTTGAGTTGTTGTCGCAACTGAATCAAAAGAGATAAGTTAATCACAAAATGAACACATTTTAAAGAGAAAATATAATGAAATCACACTTACTCTTTGTCGTAGATTTAGTTGTGCTAGTTGTACGTACTATCAAAACATAGAAATAATTTATTCTAGATGATTAACTAATTTCTTTTGTTCTAATCGTTTTCAAATTTGCAAGACAAAATACCTTACCTGTAGTTGTTGTGTGTAATGTTGTAGCTGTTTTGTCAAGAAAAAAAACAAATAAAACTAAAATAACTATTAGAAATCTTTTTTACTTGTGACAGTTTTTGGTGGACAAATTTGTTTATTTGCCATAGCTAATGGATAGCATATTGGTTGATCACATCGTGCACTATTCACACAGATTGTACTCTCGACTGAACAAGTTACATTATCCATATTACAGCGTACAACACTTGTACAAGAGAGAGTAGCTACAGCACATATTCCTATATTCGAAGGGGATGTTAATGAAAAACAATCGCAATCAAGATTTGATGAACATGATATTCGTTGAAAATCACATGCAGTAAAATTACATGTTGCTGTTGTTGTTGAGTTAACTAAGAAATAAATAATAAGAAAATAAAGAAAAATAATAGTCATTATTATTAATTACTTTGCTGTTGTTGTTCTGATGTGTTTCTATTGGTGAAGAAGATACAAAAAAGTATATAACATATAAAACTTGATAATTAATACTTACACTAAGAGTATTACATAGAATAAAAATATAAAGCTTGAACTCAAAATTTTCACCATTGTAAAATACAATCGTATGGATTATTAAGTAAAGATAATTCTTCTTCTATTACTTTTCGTTTCGTTTGTTATATAAGCGTTGTTAAATAATAGAATGAGAGGCGACCAACTGTATAGTTACTAAGTGAAATAATTCTTTTCTTATTTGTTTTTTTAAAATCATGAAATGCACTTTCTTTTAGTATGCATAGTCATCGACTGAATTTTCAAGTGTGCTTGTGAAAAGCAAAAAAATCTTCGAAAATTACAACTTTACGCAATTACATATTTAATGGATGAAAAAAGAAAAAAAGGAGAAGAAACAAACCGTTGCTACTTCCTTTTTAACAAAACAAAACATTAACTCTGGCGCTTAGTTTTAACAAAAAGCTTTGACTAAAAAGAAAATTGTAACACTCGAAATTGCGACGCAATTGCGCGCAGCTGCGATAAAAAATCGCAATTGTGGGAAAGTGGTCGGAGCTGCGCCGCACTTCGGACGAAATAATCCCATTGTCGCATAATCATATTTCGACATCATCCGTGGTATGGGTGTGGGTATAAGTGTCATATTATATCACATTTACACCCACCACACATACACACCCACACCCTTTTCTATCTGTTTGAGGTCTTACGAAAAAATATAGTATATAGTAGACCAATAACAGATTTTCTTCTTTATAATGTATAAGTTTTTTGCATGACGAATGAAAGATATATCAGTTATTTACTGCCTACAAATGTTTTTTATTGTTCTGAGAGTTATTTTCTTGTTTTTTTGTGTGGTGTTCAGAATTGAGGAAGTATCGCTAATCATCGTTTCTCTTGCTAATATTCTGGCATTCGAAATTAACAGAACGCAAAAGTAACTTACAGAATAATACAAGTGAGTCATTATGAAAGATGTTTTATGATTATTAACACCGTCATTTCCTTTTATCACAGTTATGTCTGTTGACCTATTTCATTCTATATATTTTATCGCTTCCTTATCTTCACTGTTTTCTCTTTTCTCTTTTTTGTTGTGATTGATAGGATTTCTCTGTACGTTTTTGTTTTGCACATTGGATAGATGTTTTCATCTCTACAGCTTATTATCCTCGTCCTATATATATCCTTTTAATTTGTCTTTTATTATATTTGCATAAAGTCTACCTATTATTTTCTATATCAATAAAAACCAGAAGGGAAATATATAAAACCATCTATATTAATGCTATCTGAACTGAAATCATGATTTAGTAGTATTTATATAATAAAACTATATGATTTATATTCAATTTCATTGATAATGATTTATTGTTCAAACTTAATTTTTCTTCTTATTTCACTGCTATTTATCCAATTCGATGACGCTGATTTAAGCAACTTTTACCAAAAAGCCATGTCAACAACAGATGGAAATAGTGTTCTACATGCACTAGATCATGATCCTATTCGACGCAAGTTATCAGTATTATCTTCAGATACATCTTTCAAACAAAATTACAATAAAATTCCAATAATACCTTCAAGTACTGCTCAATATTTTTTTCAAACCATCGATAGGAAGATATATGAACATATAGAAGGAGTTAAAAGATATAATGAATGGTACCAAAAACTCCAGAAACACCAGAAAGAGCATTGCTCTTATCCAGCAGGTAACACTTTCTAAGTAGATTGCAATCATACATTACGACTGAGACGATTTATATTAGACAAAACGATACTAGAAAATCTGTATTTTCTATAAATCTTAACGAATTCAACGTATACTGGGAAAGCCTGTTGATAGTATCATTCGATAGGTTATTTAAATCTGAGAAAATTAAGATTGTTGTTAAACTTTATATAACGTTCTACTACGAAAATAATGGAGAATGTATGACAAGAATTATCAATTTAACTTCTGAATAGAATCCTTTTATTGAATTTTAGAAAACTATAACCTCATTATTCATTATCGTAGGTCTTTTTCGATATCTTACTTTATTTCAAACGCAAATAACTTTTTTTCGAATTAAACGGAATACCCACGATTTTCATCTTTTGATATTTTATATTGAGATCTAATGGAAAAGATGTAATTTATGTGTAATATCAAATCTGGGTGAATTTTCATTGTACTTCAGTTTGATTTTATCCTCGATAAATTTAAAATTTCTAAATTTCAAGATTCGTTTTAGCAGTGAATTATTATCCCTTTAGGTGCACTTGATACTTCTTTTTCATTATGTTTTTTCACTTGAATGTTTTTTATGTTAATTGTAATGTCTAGGTCGTTATAAAAAGTGTGGCGATTCATCACAAAGATGGTGCTGCTCTAGTGAGTCAAATAACCAATCATTTTGAACATTCTTCTATATTAAATCATAAACATTTTTTCTGTTTCTAGTTCGCGATCCTTGTGGGACAAACTCTAGCCGATGTAAAAAACAGACATTTGCTAGTATAATAACACCAAAATCTATTTTAATGGGATTGGGCATCGTCGGTTTTCTCATTGTAGCGTGTGTCGCAATATGCAGTAGTTTACCTAGTGATTCACTGTTTTCGTCACGACGAAGTTCGAGCATTAGAATGCCACATAGTGCAAATTCTAATGTACTGCCAACAGATCAACAAAGTTGGAATAGAACTATACTACAAAGAGATATGACGGTTTCAATAGAATCTGAACGACCAGGAAACATTAATTTGAATAATAGAAGAACATCAGTGATAGTCGAAGAACAAATTTCAAATTCACCACCAGCATATGATGAAACGAGACGACAAAGTTCAGTAAAAATTAAAACACAACAACAGTTTCTACTACCTCCAAGTTACGAAGATTTTATGCGACGACAAAATAGAAACGACGAAACTAATTTATAATTCTTATCATTATGTTATTATTTCCTAAAGATACATTCACTGAAATCTCGATAATTGATTACTGTAATGTTAAACCTTTTTTCTCGCCAAAGTTATTATGCACAGTAGTGCTCGCAACAGAACTGAATTGAAATCTTGTGCTATTAGATTTTCTGTATTTATTTCTCATGAAAACATACAGATATTTCAATATTGAGTATTATTGTTGACTAATTAGAGAGATTTCTTCAGTTCGAAAATGCTAATTATGTCATAATTAGTTGATATTGACATCACATGAATTTAACGTCTCTATCACGATTACAGTATTTGAAAATGGATGGGTGACTGTGATATAAACATATTTTATAAAACTATATCCATACCCACTTTCATACATGATTTGTCTCATTTCATCATCTGAAATATTGAATCTTGAGGATGTTGGGTATAGATCTGAATGTTGTTCTTTTTATTTCTTTTCTGCTTTCATCCACACGCACCCTCAAGGTGAAAAAAAAATTGAATTTTTCATACAAATTAATAAAAGAACCCTTAACAAATATATAATCACTAGAAGATAATTCAGCATCATCCATCAGATGTGACATAAATGATCGTTCCATTTCTTTTTCGCGAAGAAAAATAATTATGTAAGAATAAAAGATACTGAAGAAAATAAATTAATAAGTATAGAATTTTTCTTTTTTTCATACACTCTTCGTTTGTATGATTCATCATCTTCCTGCGATACTGTCGCAATAAAGATCGAAATAAAAAGCAAATTCCGATATGTGATTCTATAAACTGGATATCTTCGCTTTCTAAATCAAAGAAAGAAATTCTTTTTTATGATACTCAGTAATATAAATTAATATTTTCCTTTGTTTACTGTAACATCAACTTGAAAAAGAAAGAAAGAAAAGACAATCTGTTTCTACGTTCGAAATGAAATTTACCGTCCAGTTTTCTCACTCACATCTACACCCAGTCGACAGCATATTTCTTTTAAGATATGAAATCATGTGAATGGAATGTTAGAAAGACATCAGCCGACGAACATTAATTGATATTTGTTTTGCTAAAGATATTATAACAACGACGCAGAGGAAATTGAATCTACTCAAAATAAAGTATCATTTGAGTTTATGCATCACAACATCCACTTTATCGCAAAAAACATAATTTCCTGTTTTTCCTTTCTACAGTACACATTGCATAATTATCATATGACTATCTGTACTTGATAATAGTGTTCTTTATCGCACCTTGATCGAACGATCCTTCTCTTCACTACTCTTATGTAATATGAGACCGTATATAGGACGAGGAACAATACAGTAGTGACGATTTCTTGTAAATAATCAAGATTTATAGAAACACACATTCTTACACAGTTCGATGCTGGTTCAGAAATCGTAACAATTTATTTAAATCTTTTTTTTATTTTCATCTATTATATCGATCTAGTTTAAAAACAGGTTAAGAAGTGAAGGAACAATACTTTGGAGAACCACATGACTCTGTAAGGATGAAATCAAAGCTGTAAATTCACTTTAACTTTAACTTCAAAATAGAGTCTATTGGATGTTTGTAAATGCTCTGATTTTGCAAATTGTTTTATGTATTCATTTATTCATTTTTAGTTGAGAAGTTTTTTCAAGATTGTGAATAAACGAAACTCAAATATCAATGAAGTTGTTCGATTTTGAAGGTGCAATGTATTTTTTTTTACTTCTCTGAGTTAATTTATTTTCTCATTTCTTTCCCTGTTTTTAACTGAAAGACAAAAAAAGGATATTTTTTTCTATTATTTTTGTAATTATCATAGTCAAGTTTTTATGATGACGCAGATATTTCAAGCAGTAGAAATAGGTTATTTATTCAATTTCTTTTTCTTTCTCTTGTTTGCAATCTCTCTTTCATTAATTACTTCTCTGTCTTCATTTTAAATATTTCTGTTACTTTTTGTTATTCACTCAAATCTTTGTTTGTTAAAAGTATTATTCACATTCTGATAGATGATTACAGTGAGTTTTTATTTACACAAACAAACTTTCTTTTCTATTTTTATTCAAGACGATACGTCTAATCAGTACTCCCGAAGTTTATTCATATAAATATAAACTCAGTGTATTCATCTATCACTTAAGAAGAGGACATTCATTGGTAATGTCAGCTAAAATAGAAGAAAGAGTATAGATGAGAGACTAAGCAGCATTTTTCTGATGTCTGTCTTCATTCTTCTCGTTCAGGAAGAGTTCTATACTTGATTTTGATTTGCATCTATTTTAGTGACGATACTTTTTATCAGTTATGTCTTTGATAAGAATAGCAATTCTACTCCTGCTAATTTTTCTCAAACAGTCAAGTGCACAAAATGGCAGGTCACTTCTGATGGATCTAATGGATGAATGGAAATTTCAATGTGCAACAACAACTTGTGTACCATTCATGTCTATTCCTGCACCGAATGTACGTGGCTGTCAGATAGGATGTTTACAACAAACGCAATGCAAAGCAGCTAGTTTTGTAAAAAACATGTCGATGTGCATGCCTTTTATTTGCTAACACAGTGGATCAAAATAATATTCTGGAGACAGATTCAGGAACATTCACTATGATCGTTATTTCTGGATCACAAATACCACTTGGTAAGTAAGAAGAAGTCTCTTGAAATGTACAGATTGCCAATCAGTTGTGACTGATTTTGTCTGAAATGGGTAGGGATGAAGGTACTTCATTGACTCGCACTCTCATGATCAAAGAAATATAATCGAAGTCAAAAAGTATCATTTTGTATAAACTCAACTTTAACAGTAACAAACTTCTACACAAAAAGAAGATGTTCTTAATTTGTCGATTTTAAATAGTGTGCATAGATTTTCCCAAAAGACTTTTCATCAGAAATATATGTTTAAATCTCGTGTTCTTAGAGGATTTTGCACATTTCACTGTTCTCTAAGTGTATTATGAGATTTCTTTTATAGAGAACATTTAAACTAGTAGAAACTGACTTTAAATACGCAGCAAGACACCGGAGGATGTTTAAAACGAAATGAGATGATTGTTTCTTTGACATTAATAATAAAAATGGTAGACATTTTTAAAATGCATTCGAATATGACAATGAATTACTAGTTTTACATTGTTCCACAGTGAGTGTACAACTTCTTGTATCTCTTTGCAGGTACATTGTTCCTCAATCAAACTACTTATATAACTAGTGAATCCCCGTTCGCAGTAGTAGTTGCTGATGTTAATAATGATCTCAAACTTGACATAGTTGCTGCAAGCTGTGATGCGAATACTGTCAGCGTTTTTCTGAACAAAGGTGACGGAACGTTTTTTAATCAAGTTAGTTATGCTACTGGTTCTCAACCAAGAACAGTAGATGTTGCTGATATCAATGGTGATGGAAAATTTGATATAGTTGTCGCAAATTCGGGCTCGAATGCTGTCGGAGTTTTTCTGAACGGGGGAAATGGGACGTTTCTTAATCAAACTACCTTTGGAACTAGTAGTGGGCCGTACTCAGCAGCAGTGGGTGATGTGAATAACGATCTCAAACCTGACATGGTTGTTGGAAACAATAATGGGAATACTGTCAGCGTTTTTGTGAACAAAGGTGATGGAACGTTCTTCAATCAAGTTACTTATGCTGCCAGTAGTCACCCAAGATCAATAGCAGTTGCTGATGTCAATAGTGATGTACAATCTGATATCATTGTCGCAAACCAGGGTTCGAATAATGTCGGAGTTCTTTTGAATGGAGGCAATGGGACGTTCCTTAATCAAACTACCTATGCAATTAATGGTGGGCCGTTCTTTGTAGCAGTGGGTGATGTGAATAACGATCTCAAACCTGACATAGTTGCTGCAATCCCTGATTCAAACACTACTAGTATTATCCTGCATGGGTGAAGATTGTTTATGAATTGTATCCAAGATACTATTCATAATAACGGTACATTTGTATATTCAATACATGATTGCTTTTCCCATTTTTTTTTGTTGCATTCTTATATATTATTTACTGTTTACACTCTAGATAAAATTCGTTCTGTTCAAAATGCACCAAAAAAAAAAGGAGTCTGGAAAGAGTTCGGAAACATCGCATGGATATTTTCAGTTTGAAAACAATTTCTGACGACTTTGAGTTCACTAAAAGTGTAAAAAGTACCAAAAATACTTTTCGATGTTTGATAGAACAGCTACTTTCCCTCAAAACGAATTCTATCTTTAGTGTAAACTATCTTCGCTTTTTTGTTCGATTATACATATATATTTATGTTGTGAAGCTTCTCTGTAAACAAACATAATCATATCAATGAATCATAATTACAGCATTAGAATTTCAGTTCTTATGCTGGATGCGGGTTAATTGAATATTCGACAACCACAAATTCGAAATTTTTGACAACAGTTCCCTTTGATCAAGTTTTATTGGAATGCATCTTTTTTGATTTGAAGATCATTATGGTATTATCATCGATGTTATTTGAACAGTGTTCACATATCTTGAAGGTATGAGTGTGAGTATGTGCAGGTGGATGAAAAGGAGAGTATTACGAACACTCACACGCTCAATATGCACTTGAGAATCTATTCAGATGAAAAAAAAACTTTTCAACGATAATAATTGATTAGCAATAATCATTCGATCAAATTTTTAAAAGAATAATCGACAGGATGTAAATATAAGTAACAAATGAGAAGACACCTACACTATAATAGCTTCTTGATTGACTTGTTCATGAAGTTGATTGAGAGAAGTTATTTTCGTTAACTCGATAAATCAAACACGAGTACAACGTTTAACACAAGTAAAGAATATAAAATAAAAATAAGATTGAAGTTTATTTTTATGATGCGTATTTTCTTTCATCTCATATCATAATGCAGTTGTTTTCGTAATGTTCTTAACCATTTCAATTGAACTTCTTTTGTTGCTGATTATTCAACATCAATGATATTCTCATCTGATTATTTTTACCGAAATGATCTTCACCAGTTCCTGAAAGAAACACAAATCTGATTTAGGACGATATATCTTTTCGATCTTGAGGGTGCATGTGCATATGGATGTATGTACAAAATTCTATATACACCCACACCCTCTTTTTTATTTCATTTGAAATTGATTTAACTATTGACATCAACATTCTCAATATCGAAAGTCTTTCTTTTCTTTTGTTGATTTTTCTTTTGAAAGGAAAAAAGATTGAAGATAAAAATATTGTTCAATTATTTCTCTTCTAATGTTGATCGATTGGGGGAAAAGAATTGACTGAAGAGAAACAAATTTGTGATAAATGTTGAATAATATTTGATGTTTTCAGAAGAAAACCTCAACGACAAATTACTTTGATTATGAAGAAATGTTGAGAATGAGTGAAAAATGTTTCGATGAACAATTTGTTTTTGACTGAGACAAGGAGAAGAAAAAATGAAAATTATTTATTTTTATAGTATTTAGAAAGTTAAAATTGAAAAAGAACGCTTTTTTAATCTAGTTTTTCCATATATCTGTAATAGCAGAATATAGTGACTAGAGGAGATCTCTAACAATATTCAAACGCGTCGAGGTAGTTATTTATAGAAAAAAACACACTAAGACATGAATATAATATCATAAAATGATTATATGGTAATTATTTTATAACAGTTAAATGAAGAATTTTGGTTCTTTTAAATAGAATTACAATTCTTTGTAAGTCATGTGTACATTCCTTTAACAATGATGAAACACGTGTCATGGCAGCTGTCCACACGCACTCGCTCACACCGTCAAAATGTCATTGAAGATAAATTTCAAAATCGAGCAATATTAACTATTGCTAAAAATGATCAAATTATTGTATTACATCTAGATATGATAACTGATTTTGATAGTCCAAATAATATTTTACTCAAACATGGGCTTATTCAACTAGTCAAGAATACTAATAAATGATTATTTTGTTTAAAATATGGAAAAAAAGGGATTAAAATATATTGATGAATAGTTATTTAGTAAATTACTTAACAAGAGAAGCAAATTTTGTTGTTATTGATTAGTGTGATCTTTAGTGCTTTTGTTTTAGAAAATTAGTTTTAACAAAAGACATTTAACTCATTGGATTAATAAATTACAGAAAAATTCAGTAAGTCGTGATTTATATTACTTATTAAAGATATTCCATTATCCACGCGTCGATTAGATTTCATATTCTTACAACTTCAATCACTTTTTTCTAATAATTAATGACCTGAATGACCTTTCATCATATATTGTAAAAGTCACGTGTCATTCCCTTAGCATGATATATATGTATGCATGTATACAGATATATGGATATATGTGTGTATACATAGTTAAAAAAATCTGTTTTATATAAAATATATGCATACATTCTTTGGTTGAAAAAGAATACAGATCTATAAGAAAAATATTTCAGTATAGACAAAACGTACTACATAATCTATCTATAGTCATTATGTAGAACTTCTCGAACATTCCTACTGACTATATAAAGTCTGATTTTTATCGTCTAGTATCTATCATTCTATTTTCAATCGTCATTCTAGTAAGTAGCATTTTCTTTCGTTATCGATTTATTAGTGCAAAACATTGTTAAACTTATTGTCTACTGTGCTAAAGGGTTATCAAGTGTAGAATATTCTTTTGGAATAAATACAATAGGGGAAAAAAACATTTTTTTTCTTGATTCGACACAATTAAAAATATTCGTAAGTTATTTTTATATTCGAACTGCAACGTAATTCTTTATATAAAATCAATACAAATTGCAATAAAAACAACTTATTTATCGCTTCTTTTATGTAGAAAATGACTGTAACAGATGACACCATTCATTAGAATTTTTAATTGAGTTTTGTGATTATATAAACTAGTCATATCTCTATATCTTTTCAGAACACTCGTTACATATTCTACAAAAACATTAACTATGAGTCAAAACCAAGGTAACAATTCAAACCAAGGTAATAATTCAAATGAAGAGGTGCTTCAACACAGCAGTGGTGTTCGTAATCAACCAGGTGGTAGTACACAAGGTGGTGTAGGTCCATATCAACGAACACCTGCTAATTATGCTGGTGGTCCCGGTCCACATGCAAACCTCACAATCACCTTACATGCTCAAAAGTAAGTTATAGAGAATAAAAAAAGAAATTTTCGAACATGAACTTTTACCTGTACACATATCTTTAATAAAGTAAAATGTGTATCATATAAATTTCCGAAAAATGTTTCTTTTACTAATTGTATACGTGAATATTTTCAAATAAATTGTAAATTTTGGATTTTAGTGGTCAAACAAAACAAACAACTACGGATGCTAATGGTGCTATTTCAGATGCTGATCGTCAATGGTTAGCTGATAATGGTGGTGCATTACCTATTTCACAAGTTCCACCTCAAGATAAAGCTATTGTTGGTACTGGAACTGGTGCTGCAGCTCATATGGCTGGTGATACAACTCACGTTGGAACAAAACCATTAGACAATCGACCACCAGGTTCATACAATCCTAATAGTAATTCAAATCAAGGTAATAATTCGAACCAGGGTAATAATTCAAACCAGGGTAATAGTTCAAACCAAGGTAACAATTCAAACCAGGTTAGCAATTCAAACCCAGGTAATAATTCAAACCCAGGTAATAATTCAAGCCAAGGTAATAGTTCAAACCAGGGTAGCAATTCAAACCAGGGTAGTAATTCAAACCCAGGTAATA